GTCAGTTGTTACAGTTGCTATATATGTTTTATTAATTAAATATTTTCTGAATACTGTGGGATTAATATGGAGATGGAATTGCTGCATAATTCCAAATAAATAGATTATGATCCACAAATAAATGTAAAGAGATTAACAACAATTAAACATTGACAAATAAATAATAAATCCACAAATAAATCTGAGTTTCACAAACATGAAATAAATTCACAAATAAATATAACAAGATTTTCAAATAAAAACATATCCACCAATATCTTTTCTTGTCACAAACACAACTTTGCCTGGCATTCATTTGTGAATCGCGTCCTGTGCATTTGTAAATCACTGCATGCATTTGTGGATCGCTTGCTGTGCATTTGTGGATTTTGAAACATTTCTAGTGTTAAGATGCTGAAGATCCACAAATGCGTGACTCCACCCACCGTCTACTCAAGCCAATCAGATAACAGCCACACTTCATGTTCAGTTATTATCAGAATGTCAAATGCATTTTGGGTTGATCTCTGTGTAATTTCTATAAGGTTAATAAGAACACTTTCAGAATTAATTTACACTAGAGTTTTTAATGCTCCTTTTATTATTGGTTCATCAGCAGTTGTGGTTCCACTGAGTTTCTCATTTAGTGTTTCTGGGGCCTGTACCATGAAGCGATCGCAATTGGATGACGTCAACGCGTGAGGACGTACATGATGCGTGGGGACGTAAATGATTTGGTGCCGCAGTCACGTCATCTCCAGTGTGGAATTTGCTGTGTATGTTCCAAAGAAATCTCACGTGGAGGAGCATTGTCCAAAACATTTAATACGACGTACCTGATTCGGCACTTTAGAACGAGCAACCGCGAGATGTATGGCGAATACGAAAAACTGGCAACTGCAAAAAAGGCAACATAACTAGTAATGCAACTCTCACTCAGCCATCCATTACAGCTGTTCTGAAAAAACACGAACTTTACACACCAGACAGCAAGAAAGCTAAGGCTATAACCGCAAAGATAATGGAATTTGAATGCACTGACAACCGGCCGCTGTCAGTCACAGAAGACATTGGATTTAAACGCCTTGTTGCACATCTTCAACCATGATATCAACTGCCACGGCGCAAATATTTTACCAATGTAGCTCTGCCAGAGTTACATCAAAACGTCTACAGCCACATAAACAGTCTACTTCATGAAAATGTGACCGCGGTGAGTTTAACAACTGACATTGTGGGTTGCATCAGACTGCTGGAGCAGTTATATTTCTATATCTCTTTCCAGGGCTTGAACGGTTTCTCTTTGAGTGGTAGTACAATATGCAGCATACTTTTGACAGCATAGTTTTATTTGAGTTTCACCAACCTCCCACCATTGTTTTAAATTTTCAAAATCAGTTTTTTTTCCTTTCAATAGTTCCAAACTGCCGCAAAATGTTCAGAATATAAAGCATCCTGCAACAGTTTAGCATTAAAATGCCAATAAAATGCTCATCTGCATTTTTATTTTGTACAGTCGCAGTATTTTCATTTTGCTGATGTTCATTCACATTGGTATCTGTATCATTAACAACATGCTCGTGTACTTCCATAGCAGACTCGCTTGCCTCTGATGAAGCTGCTTGTTCCTCCTGAGCAGCGTGCTCCGCCACTTCACCCTATTCTCTGGTTCACGCTCTTTAATTTAACAAAGACCAGAGTGTTTCCTGCTTCATGATGTTCAGTGATTTGTCTTCATAATGACCACTAGCTTAAAGGCTATGTGTGTAATTGCTTTGCCACTAGTAGCATCCAATAAATAGCGATCTGTTTGTTTGAGAGGCTCGACTGAGCTGGACAACCACAGCTCAACCAATGGTGTGAGTTTGGGAACCAGTGAATAATGGCAGATGGGAAGAGTATTTGAAACCAGCATTTGTTTTAGCAATTCTGTTTGGTGGCACAGAAATAACACTTTGTGTTGCACATAATTGGCACTTGCATTGGATTGTCAAAAACTCTTCTGATGGTGAACAGGCTGTTTAATTGTGGAAGCACTAAATAAATATGATTAAAAACAGTAATGTTTATGTACATGTCAAGTCAAGTCAAGTCACCTTTATTTATATAGCGCTTTTAACAATACAGATTGTCTCAAAGCAACTGTACAGCATTAATTAGTGTCAATAATGCAAAATGACAATAGTAAACACTCAATTTTCAATTAAAGGCAGTTCATCATTGAATTCAGTGATGTCATCATCCAGCTCAGTTCAGTTTAAATAGTGTCTGTGCAATCAAGTCGACGATATATATGCTCATCTGCATTTATAACGACGATAATAAAGATGGCGCCGACGCTGATGGCTGCCTCCGTGGCGTGCTCCGCAGTTGTTTTTATGTTTTTGTTAGTTTGTCCTGTCTTTAGTTATATCCCTGCAATCAGTTTCACCAGAGACGAATTGCTGGACATTCGGCAGTACACACCACCTGATATTTCACCGGTTTTCGATTATTCTGATGTTTTGCTGGACATTGTAGTCGGGGGAGCTGCGGCGCTGATCAAGCGCTTCAGGACGCGCAGACGGGGGAAGCAAGCCGGCGCGCTCGTGAAGCTCAGGCAGCGCGGATTCAGGACGCCGTTGCCTAGCATCCATCTGGCGAATCTCCGCTCTCTACCCTACAAAACGGACGAGCTCCTTCTGCTCTTCTGGACAAATAATGATTTTTCAAACTCTGCTGCTCTGTGTTTCACGGAAACCTGGCTGAAAGACGCCATTCCGGACAGCGCGTTGAGTCTGCCGGGCTTTCAGCTGTTTAGAGCAGATCACGACGCAGAATCAACGGGGAAATCGCGCGGCGGCCGGACATGCTTTTACATCAATGAGAGGTGGTGTACAGATGTAACTGTGTTAAAGAAGATGTGCTGTTCAGATCTAGAAGTGCTCTTCATTAACTGTAAGCCTTTCTACTCACCGCGGGAGTTTTGCTCGTTCATTCTCGTAAGTGTGTACATTCCTCCGCAAGCACACGTGAGCTCCGCTTTACAGAAACTCGCTGATCAGATCACAGACACAGAACAACAACACCCGGACTCTGTTTTAATCATTCTCGGGGACTTTAATAAAGCAAATCTCTCCCGTGAACTGCCAAAATACAGACAGCACATCACATGTCCCACCAGAGACAGTAATATATTGGATCACTGTTACACCACAATAAAGAATGCATATCACTCTGTTCCACGGGCAGCTTTGGGGCTCTCTGATCACTGTTTGGTTCATCTTATACCGACCTACAGGCAGAAACTGAAATCAGCTAAACCTGTATTAAGGACTGTAAAAAGATGGACTAATGAAGCAGAGCAGGATTTAAAAGCTTGTTTTGACCTCACTGATTGGAGCGTCTTTGAAGCTGCTGCCACCGATCTGGACGAGCTCACAGAGACTGTAACATCTTATATCAGTTTCTGTGAAGACATGTGCATTCCTACCAGGACTCATCTAACTTACAACAATGACAAACCATGGTTCACTGCAAAACTCAGACAGCTCCGTCAGGCCAAAGAAGATGCTCACAGGAAGGGGAATAATGTCTTGTATAAACAGGCTAAATACACACTGGAAAAGGAGATCAGAGTGGCAAAGAGGAATTATTCGGAAAAAATAAGGACTCAGTTCACTTCCAGCGACTCGGCATCAGTGTGGAAAAGTCTAAAAGAAATCACCAACTACAAGACACCATCCCCCAGCACTGCGAAGAATCAGCAACTGCGATGTAGCAAGTACATCAGGTGTTATGGGAAGTGTTCCCGGTTCCGGTTCTGGTTGTCCTAATTAATGCAGCCTAAAAGTCCTTTAACGGATTTGAATATTAGAAGCGTATTAGTGTGTTATGTGTAAGCCAGGTTAAAGAGATGGGTCTTTAATCTAGATTTAAACTGACAGTGTGTCTGCCTCCCGAACAATGTTAGGTAGGTTATTCCAGAGTTTGGGCGCTAAATAGGAAAAGGATCTTCCGCCCGCAGTTGATTTTGATATTCTAGGTATTATCAAATTGCCAGAGTTTTGAGAACGCAGCGGACGTGGAGGACTATAATGTAACAAGAGCTCGTTCAAATACTGAGGTGCTAAACCATTCAGGGCTTTATAAGTAATAAGCAAGATTTTAAAATCTATACAATGTACATAGCACATTTCTTTACGAAATGCACTTGATAAAACAGGCATAAAGGTACCAAAACAGATAAGCAATGTTAATGACAATAAACCTTTGTATATGCTACTTCTTATATTCTATCTGTCAACATAATTACTTATAGTTGCATGGCGTCTCACGAGGCTGTGACATTTATTCCCATATTATAGACCCTGTCCTAGTTTCTATATAGAGAACAATGACCCAGTTAAAGTCTAAACAATTCTGATCATAAACAATAAATGGTTGTAATCTGACAGTCAGAATTGTCTGATATTACTCAACATGAAGGTGTTGATCACGAACTTTGAGCTTGTGGGAAACAAACTAGTGTGTTATAAAACAATTGAACAATCAACACGTACTGTTGGTGACACAGTTAACTTGGCAAGGTCTGCACTGCTCCCTTTCCTGACCTCTAGATGCCCTAAAGTTCACTTACGATATGCAATGTGTAATTCATTCTATGAATGAAAGTGATTTGATATCTCATGCTTGTTTTGAGTCTTTCAGAGATCTGATTTTTATAGCAGCAGAGTAAATTATCATACACACATCTGAATTCAGCAAAGCGCTGTTCATTCTCTGTAACAGCAGCGTAGTTTTTGATGATCCCTGAATGTGAAAACAGCAATAGGACTTTTCCAAGATTGCCACAAATGGACTTTGACTCACAGACGCAGAGGAGGAGCTTGAAAATCAGATATTTGAAGGAGTGTTTGTGTAATCAAAGACTGAAGAACACAAGCATAGACTTACTGCGGTATTCTCCAGCATTTACCTTACAGACAGTCTGGAAGTTTTAACTTTTTGTTTAGATCAAAAACAAATCTCTGATTGAGAAGATGGCAGTGAGTACATTGGTTTTCTTCAGTGTCAAGTATTCTAAACTCTTGTTTCATATTTGTTTAATTTTTGTTGTGACGTTCATCTCTTTCTCTCTCTGTCTTGTGTAGATAATGTTGTTTTTGGCGTCTCTTCTCCCAGTTGTATTGGGCAGTGACTGTAAATTCATGCAGTTCGACTGTTCTGATATCTATAACTCAGGAGAAACAGTCAGTGGGATTTACTCCATCTATCCAGCAGGAGACATTCCTGTCTGGGTTTACTGTGAGATGATCTCAGATGGGAAAGTTGAAGATAAAGGAGGATGGACGGTACGACTTTAGATCATTAAACACACATCAGCACATTCATTCTGAATCATATATTCTCTATAAACCCATCACAGGTGATTCAGAGGAGAATGGACGGCAGTGTGAATTTCTATCGGCCGTGGAAGCAGTACAAGAGAGGATTTGGGAATGTGGAGGGAGAATACTGGCTGGGTAAGATCTCACAGCGTGTGTGTGTTTGTGTGGATGTTCATGTCCAGTGTTTGGTTGAAGGTGTTCTTCATGTGTGTGTATGATCAGGGCTGGAGAACATGTACCAGCTGACACGTAACAACAAGTACATGCTGAGAGTGGATCTGGAGGACTTTCAAGGAAATAAAGTGTTATCTATCCAGCAGGAGACATTCCTGTCTGGGTTTACTGTCAGATGATCTCAGACGGGAAAGATGAAGATAAAGGAGGATGGACGGTACGACTTTAGATCATTAAACACACATCAGCACATTCATTCTGAATCATATATTCTCTATAAACCCATCACAGGTGATTCAGAGGAGAATGGACGGCAGTGTGAATTTCTATCGGCCGTGGAATCAGTACAAGAGAGGATTTGGGAATGTGGAGGGAGAATACTGGCTGGGTAAGATCTCACAGCGTGTGTGTGTTTGTGTGGATGTTCATGTCCAGTGTTTGGTTGAAGGTGTTCTTCATGTGTGTGTATGATCAGGGCTGGAGAACATGTACCAGCTGACACGTAAGAACAAGTACATGCTGAGAGTGGATCTGGAGGACTTTGAAGGAAGGAAAGGTTTCGCTCTGTACTCGTCCTTCTCTGTGGGTTGTGAATGTGCTGGATATCAGCTGCATGTTTCAGGATTCACTGATGGAGGAGCAGGTAGGACGCTTTCATTTATACTCAAGAAAACACATTTCCATTGAGTTATTGTCCTTAGTGAAGTTCTTCCTCTCTGCAGGCGACTCTTTATCTGGCCATAATGATCAGAAGTTCTCCACCTTCGACAAAGACCAAGACTCCTATGAAAAGAACTGTGCCAAACAGTATCTCGGGGCATTTTGGTACGCAGCCTGTCACTATGCAAACCCCAACGGTGTGTATTTATGGGGAGAAGATGACACCCATCATGCCATTGGTGTTGTTTGGTCAACATGGAAGAATTACGCAGTCAGTATGAAATCCATCAGCATGAAGATCAAATATGTTTCTTAGAAACAATACAGTACTCCTGAAGGGGAAATTTTTCCTGATTATTCAAGAGCTTAACAACAATATTTCCCCTCTTTGCTGTGTAACTGTGTGAACGTGTTGAATATTTCTCATCTACGTGTATAGCTGCTCGTGTAGCACATTAAAACCAACTGAATCCATATTTAGATGAATTGTCACTTCGTAAACCTTCAATAAACTCCTACTTTAAATGAATTATTCTATAAATTCTTAAACTAGACTTTGACTAGACTAGAATTGTGTCTGAACCGTGAACCGTAGTTGTACATGTGCACTGCTGTAAACGGTTGAGTCGATTCTCTTCAGTGGGAATAGATATACGAGACGTGAACTGAAAGCATGCCGCTGCTGTGTTTTCTGATTCAGTCTGAGGTGATGATGAATGATCCGAAGAGAAAGACACAATTACAGTGGATGTGTAAATCTCACTCTCCATAGGCAGAAATATGTGAAACCCACACTGCAAGCAGTTTGACATATTTTTAGATTCTCATAATTTCTCATGATTTTTGATTTAAGAGAAATTTGTTTACAGTGACGTGCTAGTTTTAATAATGTAAGAATGTCCAGCTTTCAGCCGGTATACTGCACAATTGATATATTTTGGTTAATCATAGTATGCATCCAAATTACATACATACTTTACACAACAGGACATCAGCACCTCCATGCTTTACTGCAGGAATGCTGTTATCTGGATGCCGAGCTGTTTTGGATTTCCGCCAGACATATCGTTTGGTGTCGAGGCCAGATAATTCAGTTTTAGTCTCATCTGCCTCAGAATCTTCAAGGTGTGTTTTGGCAAAGCTCAGTCTGACTGCATGTGGCCTTTCTTGAGGAGTGGCTTTTTTTCTTCAGCCCTCCCATACAAGCCACATTAGTGGAGAATCTGTGATATTGTTGTCACACAATGACCACTCTTTGTCATAAACTCCTGCAGCTGTCGCCTCTCTGATCAGTTTCCTCCGGCTCTTTTATCAGTTTGGAGCGACGTCCCGATCCAGGGAGGGTCTGTGTTTTACCAAATACCTTCCACTTCTTAATAATATACTTCACTGTGCTTCTAGGCATTGATGAAGCCTTTGAAATGTTTTTGTCTCCATCTCCTGACTTGTGCATGTTCACAACTTTATCCCGGAGATCTTCTGACAGTGTCTTGCCACCCATAGCTGATTGTTTGCTTCAGTTGCTCTAGCAAGGACTGAAATGCTCCAGGAACGCTCTTTTCATGCTGAGCTGATCAAAATGAGCACAGCTGATCACAGGTGAAAGTCAAATGGATTTGTGTGCCACCAAGAAGGTGATCAGCTGCACCTGATTGATTTCACCAGTCATTTTTAGGAGGGGGCTGATCCTTTTTCCAACTCAGTGAATCTGTTTTTTTTTTCTTTCGTTTTTCTGACATGTTGGCGTTTTATCTTTCACTTGGATGTTATAAGTTGCACTGAGTACATACAGCTGGATAAAACAAAAACTGTGTCCGTCTTCATTTCAGGCTGCAAAGCAACAAAATGTGATTATTTTAAACGGGGCTGATTTTTTTTCTATACCCACTGTATATACACAAATACATGCATGCTGTTTGCTGATGTGTGTCGTCTGATATCCACAGGATTGCGCCACAGCTGGTCTTTAAACATTACCAGGCTCCTGACCAGGTTGTGTTAGTGTTGTGTCAGAAGTGCATCCACTCAGAATATTCGATAATTAAATTTGACGATTTTTGTGAATAAAATATGATCAATGCTGCAAATTTCACTCGTTTGAATCCAAAATGTCTCTTCCAAACACAGAGATAAAGTTTATCTTTGCGGTACAAAGTTGATTCATCACTGTTGTTATGTTTCTAGACCGATTAAGGAATTCATAAATCTTCTAACTCACATCTTTGTTTCCCACAAGCAGTAGCAATGAATAAATACGCCCTTACCTCTTGTATCGGGAGATGAAGTAGAAGTTTCAAGATTTCCCACCCGGTGTCCGTGCTGCTATGGGACTTCGACAGGAGATTTATATTCAAGTTCAGATAATAGGTTACTCTCAATAAAATACTCAGAGACTTGTTTAAAAGAAGTTTAACTCATCACCATAGGAAATGGTTTCGCTTTATTAAAAACAATAACTCATAAGTAATAAAATCAAAAGTAAACAGCGAGAAGTCTTCACCTCGAATTGTGGCAAAAGCAAATCTGATACAACAGTCGATTATATAGTGGGAGGCGTTTACAATATTTCTCCTTTGCAAAGCATTCAGCATCGGGCTCTACACTGTGTATATGCAATGTGTGAGTAACTCAGAAGCCAAACACTCCTGTCTTGTTTCAATTCATAATTCAAAAGCATATAAATGGGCCTAATGTTGTGAGCTAGTTCTTCAGTCAGTGAAACATGCAGTAAGCAAATTGGAATAATTGCATGCATTATTTTATGTGAGGTTATGATGCATTATCCCATGGAACACAACTGGAGTTATCATCAGAATATCAAATGCATTTTGGGTCGATCTGTGTGTGTAATGTCTATGAGGTTAATAAGAACACTTTCTGAGTTTTTAATGCTCCTTTTATTATTGGTTTCTCAGCAGCTCTGGTTCCACTGAATTTCTCATTTAGTGTTTCTGGTGTCTGTTGTGGAGATAAACACATCTGACATAATGATTTCAGTGCAGGAGTTTATTGAAAATATATGAATTGTTGATTCATTTCAGTTACACATTAAAAGAAGAGACCCAAAACAAAGAAGAACAATTCATAAACAGACATAAGTTTATGATAGTGATTTTCCTACATGATTTACTAAGTTACACAGTTATTAGAAAACAGGAAACAATTAAACATTAAATTGATTGTTTTGTTGTTTATTTCTGAGAAGAACTGTAATGTTTCTAAGACACACGTTTGATCTTCATGCTGATGGATTTCATTCCGACAGTGTAACCCTTCCATGTTGACCAAACATTTCCAATGGCGTAAAGGGTGGGATCTTTCCCCCATAAATACACACCGTTGGGGTTTGCATAGTGACATTTTGAGTACCAAAATGCCCCAAGAAACTGTTTGGCACAGTTATTTACATAGACATCTTGGTCTTTGTCGAAGGTGGAGAACTTGAATCCATTATGGTAAGATAAAGAGTCGCCTGCAGAGAAGAGAAGCGTCACTAAGGACAGTAACCCAATGGAAATGTGTTTTCATGAGTATAAATGAAAGTATCCTACCTGCACCTCCATCTTTGAATCCAGAAACTTTTAGTTTATACTCGCCAGCTTCAGGACCCACAGAGAAAGACGAGTACAGAGCAAACACTTTATTTCCTTCAAAGTCCTCCAGATCCACTCTCAGCATGTACTTGTTGTTACGTGTCAGCTGGTACATGTTCTCCAGCCCTGATCATACACACACATGAAGAACACCTTCAACCAAACACTGGACATGAACATCCACACAAAATTATGTTTTATTAAAGTTCGGGAGGAGCACGTTCAGATAATTAACACGAGAGGAGCACATTCAGTAATCAACTCAATTAACAAGATAAGAGATATATATACACTCTGGACTCTGGGTTCGGGCCAAATTCTGAGCTCGGAGCCCTCCCCTCAGACAGCACGCCAAATACACATAACCTTTACTCTATTTATTATATGTAAGTGTGAACTCGTGAACGGACACACGCTGTGAGATCTTACCCAGCCAGTATTCTCCCTCCACATTCCCAAATCCTCTCTTGTACTGATTCCACGGCCGATAGAAATTCACACTGCCGTCCATTCTCCTCTGAATCACCTGTGATGGGTTTATAGAGAATATATGATTCATAATGAATGTGCTGATGTGTGTTTAATGATCTAAAGTCGTACCGTCCATCCTCCTTTATCTTCTTCATTCCCATCTGAGATCATCTGACAGTAAACTGAGACAGGAATGTCTCCTGCTGGATAGATGGAGTAAATCCCACTGACTGTTTGTCCTGCTTTATAAAGGTCAGAACAGTCGACTGGCCAGTCTTTATGCTGACTGCATCCGCTCACCAGAGCAACAGAGAGAAGAGCCGCTAAAAACACCAACATCTACACGAGACACAGAGAGAAAGAGATGAACATCACACTGAAAGCATCTCTAGGAATGTAGAGTTATTGATGAACTTACTGCCATCTTCTCAATCTCTCCTCAGAAGATCACAGCAGAGATCTGTTTTATCTAGACGAAAATAATATAAACATTTTTATATTGTCTATTTTAATATATATTTTTTTTTCTGAAAGTTGTATTAATGTCTGAATATTCTGAGGTA